AATTTGTTTTGCAACAGGTATTCTTGCAGCAACTGGTTTCACAGCAAGTTGGTTGACAGCTGATCTTTATGGAGCTGGGCTGGCAGCAGCTGGGCTCACAGCAGCAGGGCTGGCAGCAGGGTGTGCTGCAGCAGATGCCCACACAGGTTGGCTTGCAACAGGTGGTCTTGCAGCATGTGCTTTCAGAGCAGGCTAGTGGGCAACAGGGCTGGCAGCAGTTGCTGACAGACTTGATGTTGCAGCAGCTGGACTGGCAGCAGGGTATGCAGCAGCAACTTGGGGGACAGCAAGGCTGGCAGCAGATGGACTCAGGGCAGCTGCTGGATTCACAGCAAGAGGTGGTCTTGCAGCAGGTGGTCCTGCAGCAGCTAGGCTGACAGCAAGGTGGGCAGCAGCAGAGGGTCATGGTATCAAGTGTGGAGGGTGATAGTCTGTTCACAGGTGAGTTTTCAACAGTGTAGCAAGTTCTTCCAGTCAGGGCCTTTTATACACCTGGCCTTCAAGAATTGGGCCAATCAGAAAGACTCTTCCTCTTTGTGTACCATTTCCATATTTAATTTGTGCTTTTGAAGAAGGAAATTCTCACCTAATGCTCTGAATCATTTGAAAGTGTTCATTGCTTACTTGGGAATAGCTCACTTGAACTTGTTCCAATAAGTCATGGGTTCATCCCTTCAGCGCTGTTGTAACTCTCATCACCATCTGGTCCTTTGGTAGCTCCTGCCTCGATGGGAAGGTCAAGATTAGTTTGTTCTTACAACTTTTTCTGCTATCTGCACTTAGATTGATAAATCTCTCTGGGTATGTGTAGCATGAATTTTAAAAGGTCTTCTTAATAAAAACAAACCTGGAGCCAGGTATTGGGGTGAATGCTGGAAGATCAGAGAAGCAGAACAAGCCACAGCTACCTCACCTTGCCAATTCCTCAGCTCATCCTGTTTCCTCAGACTGGAAGCCTCTGAGTCCTCATCCAGAATGAATCTCAGCTGAACTGCTGCTAGAAGCCTGAAAGCTTAACCCGCCAAATGCTTCTAGTTTCTGGTCTTCATGCCTTATATATCTTTATGGTTTTGCCATCACTCCCTGGGATTCAAGGCTCACTTCTTGGGATTAAAGGCGTGTGTCACCATGCCTGGCTGTTTCCAATGTGGCCTTGAACTCACAGATCCAGGGGTATTTCTGTCTCTGGAATGCTAGGATTAAAGGCGTGAGTGCCATCATTTTCTAGCCTCTCTATCTAGTGGATGTCTCTTCACTGACCCCAGATAAATTTATTAGGGTGCACAATATTTTGGGGAACACAATATCACCACAGTTATGATAGTGCTGTATTCACAATGATGTACTCTCTGCCTAGTTCCCTGAGCGTTGCCCACAAAGTCCAATTCCAAAGTGTCCCAGGTGTCAATCTCTGTGTAATTTCCTATCCCTGTGTATGTGGGGTTCATTTAAAGGTGGTTTGAGATAAGGGTATATGGAATGATGTGTTTCATAGCAGATTAGAACCCAGAACTGATGGGTATAAAAAGAAACAGCATATTTGAAATAAGGAGACATCAGTGGAGTGTGGTGACCATCAGTCTTGACTGTCCTCTCCAGCGAAGTTGTGCTGACCATCAATCCTGACTGTCTGTCAGCTCCTGGATAGATGTAGTGACAATTAATCCTGACTGACTGTCTGCTCCTGGGTAGATGTAGTGACAATTAATCCTGACTGCCTGTCTGCTCCTGGATAGATGTGGTGACCCTCAGTCTTGACTGACTGCTCCTGGGTAGATGTGGTTATCAATAATCCTGGCTGACTGTCTGCTCCCAGGATCTCACGTGGATGAAGTGCTAAGATCCAGACAAATGAGGGTGAGCTGGTGATTCCAGTGCATATCTGGCTGTCAGCAGGAACAGTGATCTTAGCCTTGTGATCTCCTGATTTCCTTCCTTCTGCCTGGCTCTCTAAACCCCTGTCCTCATCTCTCTCTGTCTGTCTTTCTTCTTCATTTTCTGGACTGTTCTACATTTTCACTTTTCAGAAATCTGTCTTGAAGTTTTTTTATGAAAATACCTTGAATGTTTTTGGGTTTATTTAAAATATTTTATTTTTATTATTTTTATTTTTATCATATTATTCTTCATTTTTTTTTCTTTCAAAACAGTTTCACTATGAAGCACTGACTGGCCTGGAATTCACTGTGTAGACCATGATGGCCCGAATATCACAAAGATTTTCCTAACTCTGTCTCTTGCATGCAAGGGTTAAAGGCTTCTTTCATGATGCCTTTTATTGATTTCATATATGCAAATAATATGTTCTGATCATACCATTTTCTAATCACTCTCTTGGATTTTCTTCCTCTGAACCTGTTTTCCTTCCTCCAAAGATTCCCTCCAGTGTTCATTGTGTGTGTGTGTGTGTGTGTGTGTGTGTGTGTGTGTGTGTGTGTGTGTCTATGTATTTGTCTGTGTCTTTCTGTGTTTGTTTGTGTGTGTCCATCCCAATGAGATTAATTAGTGTTGCTTTCATAAGTATGGTAGGCAGTTATGGGCAACATAACTCTGGTTACATTACTGACTTCTTTTCTCTATGTCCTATGACCAAATCATATGATGTTTTCAGCAGTAAGTTCTTACTAGTTGGGTCTGGTGGGTAATCGAAAGCTAATAGTGTATGTTGTTTTGGAGACCTGTGGGCTTCTCATAGGGTTTTTATCACATACCCAAACTAGGATTTTGTTTAATTGCCAATAGCTTCTGGGAGCTGCTCTACCCATGCAGGGTACTTCCATTCAGACTCTTCTTATTATACTTGTCAACTAGTCAGGTCGATCCCAGTCCTCCGGGGAGACCTTGATCTGGAGGAGGTGGGAAAGGGGGGGTGTGCTGGGCGGAAGGGGAGGGGGGCAGGAAGGGAGACAACAAGGGAACCTGTGGGAAATATGTAGAACTGAGTAGCATTGTAAAATTAAAAAAAAAGAAAAAAAATTAATAAGAAAAAAAGAAAACAATCAGTCTCCAGTTAACTTTTAACACATCATTAGTTTTGATTAACTCTTCCCTCCACTCTGTATTATTCTCCATTTCCCTACTACTAGCTCCCTGCAAATGTTTCCACCACAATAGTCTACCTCTCTATTTTTATTGACATGTGTTCTACTGTCTCCTGTCTTTTAAGCCCTTCCTACATCAACAGACCCTGTCAATCTCCCTGGCCTCTACAGGCATTCCAAGATAAACACACAAATGTAAAAATTCAAAATCAGATTCACATATGAGAAGGGGCATTAGTTGGGGGCCAGAATGGAATGTGTTCCATTTTATGTTGGGTTTTGCCTAGAGTGAGGGACAGGGATCTAGTATCAGTCTTGTACAATTAGACATCTCAGTTTCTCAGTGCTGTCTGTTAAAGGGGATGTATTCTACTCCACTATGTGTTATTGGGACATTTTAATACACGTATGGATGCATACTCCAATATGTGTGTGTTTGTGTTCATGTGTGTGTATGCACCAGGGGATGGAGGACAATGTCGGGTGTCATTATCACACATGCCATCCACCTCTTTTGAAACAGAGACTCTCCAACCTGCCCTCACCCAAACAGGACAAGTTTTTGTTAGTTCTCTAACAAGGACTTTTATTCATGTTGGCCATCAGAAACAGAGAATAATTTTGTCTTCTTTGTCAAAAATTAGGTGTTCATACATGTGTGGATTAATGTCAGGGTCGATTCCATTGGTCCACATTTCGGTTTTTATGCCAGTACCAAGCTGTTTTTTATTACTGTAGCTCTATAGTAGAGCTTGAAGTCAGGGCAGTGATTCTTCCTGAGGTTGCTTTATTGTAAAGGATTATTTTAGCTATCCTGGGTTTTTTGTTTTTCCATATGAAGTTGAGTATTGTTCCTTCCAGGTCTGTGAAGAATTGTGTTCAATTTTGATGGGGATTGCATTGAATCTGTAGATTGCTTTTGGTAAGATTGCCATTTTACTATGTTAATCCTACATATCCATGAGCATTTACAACAGATGGTGCTATCATAACTGGATGTCAACATGTAGAAGATGGATCCATACCTTTTACCATGCACAAAACTTAAGTCCAAGTGGATCAAAGATGTCAACATAAATTCAGTTACTCTGAACCTGGTAGAAGAGAAAGTAGGAAGTAGTCTTGAATACATTGGCAGCAGAGATCACTTCCTAAATATGACACCAGTAGTACAGACACTAAGAGCAACAATTAATAAATAGGACCTCTTGAAACTGAGAGGCATTTGAGGGCAAAGGACATGGTCAATAAGACAAAATGACAGCCTACAGAATGGGAAAAGATCTTTATCAACCTTACATTTGATAGAGGGCAGATCTCCAGAATATACAAAGAACACAAGAAACTAGACATCAAAATATGTAACATTTCAATTAAAAAATAGTCTGTAGAGCTAAAAAGAGAATTCTCAATAGAAGAATTCCAAATGGCTGACAGACATTTAAGAAATTGTTCAACATCCTTAGTCATCAGGGAAATGCAAATCAAAATGACTCTGAGATACCATCTTACATCTGTCAGAATGGCTAAGATTAAAAATATTTATGTTGGAGAGGATGTGGAGCAAGGGGAACACTCTTCCACTGTTGGTGGGAATGCAAACTTGTACAGCCACTTTGGAAATCAGTATGGCAGTTTCTCAGAAAATTGGGAGTCAATCTTCCTCATGACCCAGCTATACCACTCTTGGGCATATACCCAAGAAATGCTCAATCATACCACAGGGACAAATGTTCAACTATGTTCATAGCTGCATTATTTGTAATAGCCATTACTTGGAAAAATCTAGATGCCCCTCAGCTGAAGAATGGACAAGTAAAATGTGGTACATATACACAATGGAGTACACTTCAGCAGAGAAAAACAATGACATCATAAGGTTTGCAGGCAAATGGATGGAGCTAGAGAATATCATCCTGAGTGAGGTAACCCAGACTCAGAAGGACAAACATGGTATGTCCTCACTCCTACATGGATACTAGATATAAAACAGAGGATAACCAGAGTGTAACCCACAGATCCATGGAGGCTAGCTAGTAAGGAGGACCCTAGGAAGGATGCATGGATTGCTGAGTGATAGAGAAATGGATCAGATCTACATGAGCAAATTGGGCGGGGAAGGGGAGGTAATGGAGGACAAGGGATGGGGGATGAGAGCTTAGGGGAAGAGGAGGTTTGAGCTGGAATGGAAACAGTGTGAGAGAGCAAGTAAAGAGATACCATAATAAATGAAGACGCCATTGGAAGCTTCCCAGGAATCCACAAGGATGACTCCACCATAGACTACTAGCAATAGTTGAGAGGATGCCTGAGCTGGCCTACACTAGTGGTGGGATAGCTGAATACCCTAACTGTCATCATAGAA